TGTAGTTTAAACGTAATTCTTGTCTAAACAGCTAACTACATTTCTAGCCTGCAGGGAGGCAGCTGAGATCTGCTGGGCTCCACCTCTTTTAAATCAGACTAACAGAGGCTTCAAACTTGCCCAAACAAGAGAATAGCTGCAACAAGCTAGTCCTCCTGGATACATGCTACAGACGCTGAAAAACGTGCGTCATATTCAAATGTCAGATGCTGTGAAAAGTTAGATCTCTTACCTAACCCGACCTCCACAGATTAGTAACTAGGACTGGGAAATGACAGATGCTGAGCAAGCGTGCTGCAGCCGGCAGCAGCGAAACAGGGCTGCAATGTCATCCTTGCGGGGCAATCGTGCACCGTCAAAGTTAGTCCACTAAAGTGCTTGTTTTTGCCACCGACGGGCTCAGATTGTTATTCCAAGAGTCCGACAGAATTATGGAAAGGATCCCTACAGAGAGAGACCTTTTTTTAAAAGAGTACAATCCCTTTTCTTTAACAAAACGCAGTTACTATGTCGCTCTTGTCAAAGCCACCAGACTCCCTTAACAAAAACAGTAATTTTACCTCTCGGGTCTCCCACTGCCTCAATCTGTTAGTTTGTGTAATTATGTGACTTTGGTGACCTTTAAATCACCAAATCCACACAAGAATACTAACAAACAGAAACACAAGAATCAGTTATACAGTAAACAATAAGATTTATTAGGTGTGAAACATTATGAGTCAGTGTTTGACTTATGTCAAATGTCCAGGCAGAGGACATTTAGAGGAATCACGTTTTCTGGCGGCTCTTTCAGAGGTGTGTCAAGCAGGCAACAGACTTTTTTAAGTATTAATTAACGGGACAGTTTCTTAGATGGAGCCCATCTGTAGTCTATAATTGAATTCTCCTAAGTGTTTTCACATGTTTAGAAAGAAAATCGGAAATCTCCTGCTGACTACGCCCAATCCAAGGCAAAGTCTCTAAGGTGCATGATAGTGATTGTGGGCTAAACTCTGAAGTATTTCCTCACTGCTAAATCCAATTGCAAAGTTTAATTTTCCAGTGCATGCATAATACAAGACAGACGTGTGTGTGTGATGTTGCAGCCTTGCAAAGTGTTTCTCTCATAAATGTGTGACTATAATGTCAGAGAATATTCAAGTTTATTACTTGTAGTAATCTTGGGAATTAAATTCTGCCTCGGATCATCACCCCTCTCCACATTACAATGGACCTTTTGTGCAGTTGTACCTTTACAACTTAATCATATTACACATAAAAGAGCCCATAAAATACAAAGGCTAATAGAGATTTGATCTACAATACAAACACTTGGAAGATAATTAGACTACAAATATAGTCCAACAAGCCTCCCTGGCTTTGTCGTCCGCCATGACATTAGTAGTTAACTTGTCTTTACATGCGTCACTTCAAAAAAACTCTGCCTGCACGGCCGAACACACCTTTTATGGGAACGTGCACCAACTCCAATTAATTTAACACCGAGTTAACACGGACTCAACTAACCAACATCTTCTCCACCGTCGTAGTAGCGTTTAACTCCAGTGTAGGCGGTCAGAGTTTGTCAGCCCTGAGTTTGCCTGATAACCCCGAGTTAACTCTGAGCAGGTTGAACTCCCTTCGTAGTGCAGGCCACTGGTCTACAAGAGCCTTTCTCATTCTTCTTAAGTACTGTTGTGCAACAACTTTGAACCATTTAATTGTTCGGACACAGTTAATCACTTTAAAAGCATCACATAATAAAACCAGCTTTACAACATACATACTCAGTACAAGACAGTATTCTTCCTACTAACCCTGCTGATGCAAACACTGAATACACCCAGCATTTACACAGTGTGAGCTATTTTTACTGACATTCTTTCATCATTACCACTTGAAATATACACAGAAAAAACAAGACTTTCCCTTTACTTTAATAAGCTGGCTTTCCTTGGAGGCGTTACATCATCCATTCTGTATGTTCTACCATTTGGAAATGACTGGAAAAAACGTTTACATGGCTTTAACAAACACTGTGCTCTAAATGTGGAGAGGAAATGTGGGGAGTCATGTGCTAAAAATAGTTCAGTGGACAACCTTGCAAGAATGGACCCAAAACCTGAGTAGAAGAAAGACAGCAGATTGAGAGAGAGAGGCAGACGGGCAGTTAGGAAACATCCTGAAACAATCTACATAATAAATCTACGATGCAAGAGTGGATACAGACAGGAAACAGGCAGGAAAGAACTGGAAGAAAGACAATCTAGGGAACAAAATGACATGCCCATCATGTCAGAGCCTGTGCTGCCATCTATTCATGGTGCAACCATCACAAGTTCAAAGACCATGTCAGACTTACCATCTCCTGGACTCACACCTGTCCACACTGCTGGCCTCTGAGGTCAACTGAGACCTTGCCTCGACCACCAGAGAATCAGCTTTAACAATAAACCAGGTCTCACTAACAAACCACATTGCCAAAACCCTCCCACAAATGTCACACACGCCGAATTTGAGATGAAAAGAGTAAGTAAGCAACTTGCAATCCAGATGCATAATAGCACAGGACCAATACCAGGGTGCAAACTAGGGGGGGGGGAATAACGTGGAAGATTATCAGTCAATAACGTAATGTTGACAGAACGCAAAAGGCGGAACTCGCAGAAGTGCACACAACAGACACCAGTGCTCCTCTGTATTCGCCACCGCTGCAGAATGAATAACCACCCCAAAATGTCACACAATCATCAATATCAGTGCGCAAGTAATGGTTTTAACTCGCACGCTGCCAGCATGGTGACACTCGACGCTTGGCAGCTCCCTGTGTATCCTGTGCGAGGCCGAGCGAGTGAGAGAGAGTGAGCGGCGGAACGTGACTGTGAAAGTTAGCGGTGAAATATATTAGCAGTAAGTGTCAGTCTGGCAGTAAACGTGCAGCGTAGGTCGCAGTGTGTCCGTTAATAAAAGTCTGTAGTTTCCCCAACGGCTGGAAAAGTGAGGGCTGTAATGTCTAACACCTCCCCTGTACAAGGGCCTGCTCTCTGTCCCCCACGCCAGACTCCGGACTTTACGGGACAGAGCCTTCAGCGTCAGAGCCCCCACCCTCCTGAACTCACCCCCACAGAGATCCTAAATGCTCCCTGTCTGGACACTTTCAAAAAATCTACTAAAAAGCCAGCTCTTTACCCAGGCATTCAATCCTGAATGACTTTGTGTTGTTCTGTCACTATGTGTACAGCGTTCTTGGGTCCCGTGAAAGGTGCTAAAAATATTTATTTATTTATGTAACTTTAGCTAAATTAGTAACGTAGAAATATTAATTATCAGTCAAGGGTTGAGAACATTTGGTACCGTTCAGTTTTCAGAGGTGTCTGACAACTGGCTGTTAAAGAAATGATGGACCATGGAGCTTAGTTTAATAAAGTAAGTTAGGGACACAAACTAGTCCTTTTAGGCTAATTAAGACATGTTTCTTTTGGATTTTAATGCCCAAATTAAATGCTTAGTAAGGAGGGATCCTGTATAGGAAAAAAAATTATGCATCAAGCTGCATCGATAAGCGTTTTATAATCAAATCGCAGCCCTCTGAAACGAAATCAAATCGAATCGTGAGGTGCCCAGAGATTCCCACCCCTAGTGCAAACCATGAACTGTATATAAACATGGCTGCTGAGTCTACATTTCCTCCCACTGTAGGAAAATGATGGCAAAATATCCCAGACACGGGAGCTGCCACCTTGCACTGGTGACGTCACTTGCAGCCAGAGTCTGTGTAGCGTTCGTGTTTGGAGCCGTAGCATCAATACGCCTGGCCGACACAATCATGAGAAGGGCTCAGCTCAGCTGTCAATCATGATGTGAAACCCCATTTTATAGCATCAAACAACTAATTAAGAAAAACTAACCCCTCACAACAAAACATAATCATCAACATCATGTTTTTTGTATTTTGGCCATGTAGTATGATCCATACTGCAGCCAGCCACCAAGGTCAAGATGTTGTGGCCGACATATCTTTCTATAAAGTCTATGGTCCTTCCGTGACAATAAGGTGGTGATTATCAGAGTGGTATGTTACTTTAATGTGGCTCTGTATTTCACAAACAGAAAGTCAGTGTGACCACGGCTGCAAGTAATGATTATTAACTTATCAGTTATTTTTTCCCGGTTGTTTCATCTATAGCATGTCAAACAATAATTTCACCAAGGTGACATCTTCAATCCAATCCAAAGCCCAATTTACAGTGATATTAAACAGAGAAAAGCAGCAAATGTTTCACGTTTCCATGCATTAAACAATTAATAAGCTATTAGAAGTTTCAGTTCGAACAGTGAACACCATATTAGTGGAGGTCTCATTTTGAAATGAAGATAAAGTAAAACACCGAAAACCAACTTGTAATGTTGAGAAGTCATCACGTGAGAACACGATCGAATGACAACTTCAAATGTCCAAAAATGCCGTGGGAGCAGCGTTTATTATCTCCTCCACCCTCCTGCTCGCTCCCTCCGGATGGCTCTTATGACTCATGTCTCTCTGAAAAGGGTTCAGTTTCAGCAGATGAAACCAAGCATGACCTCAAAGAAAGTGACAAAAGTGAAACAGGACGGAGCCAGCAGCGGACTGAGACGGAGTCATCAAGCTGTTCCCCCGAGTGAGACACATAACTGAGGCATAACACTTGTTATGTTGCCACAGTAACCAAGATGAAACACTGAAATCAAGACACGGGGCTTTTCTTTCTACAGTTACATGACCTCAGAATTCTCTCAGGGCGAGCAAAGAAAGACCAGAAACAACGAGCCTTCACTCAGTTCAGCTCACATACTTGTTGAAGTAAATCATCAATCTATAAAAGCACCACGGTTGCTATAACAACCTAAAAATGAGACCACAATTGGGTTAACACCTGCTCTGGCCTTTAATACCTGCAAAAATACCACCAATAACACGTTAGCTGTGTGTTCAGTCAGAAACACTGCACTGTAATCTCAGTTAGAGGTGGAGAGAGACTGACCCTGCAGCAGCATGTGGACATTGTCGATGTCCAGGGGGATGGAGCCCGTCTCCACCAGATCATCTCTGGAGTAGAAGTCTGACGACATACTTTCTCACCCACAGCCTCCCGGCAGCATGGCACCGCTCTGAAAGAAAGAGAGGAAAAGTGGCATCAGTGTAGCTGGAAGCATAACACTGTTTCTGCAGAGCTAAAAGGTTCAGTGCTACTGTGGTGAAAAAATATATCCCGCTTATAAATAGAATTTCTGCTTGTTGACAATCAAGATAAACAAAGGTTACGTATTTCTTAGCATTCAGAATAGCAAGTAGAACAACTTTGTTTGCTGAATGTGTGATTTTATTGTGGTGGCATTGTTGCCATAATTACATTTGCAAACAGCGATAACATATTTACATCTGGAATAGTGACAACAAGACTATCGATGCATAAATACATCACCATGATAATAATTTAAGAGCGTTTGAACTAATCCACCCCCGCGACCCTGTACGCAGGATAAGCGGTTGACGATGGATAGATGGATGGAGGGAGGGACAATCCACAATACATTTTTACAAGCTAATTTCCATCTGTAGTCCCTGAGGGGAGGGCGGCATCGTAACAATCAAGGAAAATCTCCTGGCATAGTGTCTTTTAATCATCTGTACCTATACCGTTCAAAACAGACCAAAAAACAATAGTAGGCTGTTTTTAAGTGCCAGGTTTTTGTAAACTGCTTTGGCACCAAAAGGGCCCATACCTTGACCACAGTTAATAAACTCAGATCCACAAACAAAAGGAAAAAGCCCGACAGTTATATGAAAGACGTTTAGTTCAGCAGTTCAGCAGACTTGTTCAACAAACCAGCAAAAAACACTTCTAAAATACAGTTGAAGGGGTGATTATCATCTTTTATAGAGCAATCAAACACTGTTCTGTCAGTGAACAGTGTCAGAGCGCCAGCTGAAGACTGCTGTGTTTTGTCTTGTCCCGTCTCGCCTTGGGATATGAATAAGTGAAGTGAGAAGAATGTGTGACATTTAGACAACCTCTCCGAATTCGCCTGCCTAAGCAACTCACACTGTTAAAAAACAAAGGCCTTTGTTTTTTTAACAGTGTGAGTTGTTTAGACATCTTTTTCTGCTGATCACAAACGTGACTGACAGGTTAGAAGAAAAGACAGGTGAGTGAGTCTAAAATAAAACAGTGTGAAATGGCACTAGGCCTCACCGATATGTCGGAGCAAATGTCAGGTCGAGCACAAGCTGTTTGTGCGTTTTAACCTGCCTGTACTGATCTCATTCAAATGGGCGAAAGTCAGATGCTATTATGCTTTATCAACTTACTGATGCTGAAGAACTGACGAAGTTTAAAGAAGTGTGTGCCCTACTCTTTGATAGGGGGCTGACAGAATTCAGGCTATTAAACGTTAAAGCCATATAAATTCAAATCCGGTAAAACTCAGACATTACAAAGTGTTTTACAATTACTAACTAACTAAAGAAAACAACAACTCTGTAATGTCACAGTCCGTCCACAGTAAAACTTCTGTCCCGTTACCGCCGCCACCGCCATGCAAAAGTAAACAACATCTCGATGAATCGTTGAAATAATCTATAGAAGCTTCGAGTACTAAAATCACTGTTAGCTGCAGCCGTATTTACAATGTCAATGAAAAGAAAACTGACTGGAAAGCACGCAGAGCTAAAATGTACACGATCTCTAAATAAGGTGTGGGGGGGGTCGATACAGCATAGTATCGTGATAATTGCCATGGCAACACTGTATCAATACACGGACGCCATTATTATATAAATTGCAGATGGGACTTTTAACTTTTTGGTACTAGAATAATAAAATCTATTGCTTTTTTAGTCCACTAGAAAACTTAACAGGACCATATAGAGGACTGAAAAAGTGATATGAACAAACAGAGAAATGTATATTTTTAGAAAAACAGATGTTGACAAAGTTTGACTTTAGGGACCTAATTGGAAGTTGGAAAAAGGTAATAAATTGCAATATATATCAATATATTTAAAATCGAATCGAAACATAAAAATCGTGATAATATCGTATCCTGGGGGCCTCTGGTGATTCCCGCCCCTAAAATAAGGTAAAGTTCTAATCAATCATCTGGATTCAGAAGTGCATGAAAATACAGGTAGGGAGAGACGATCATGAGACATGTCGGATTATTCAAGAATGTGCAAAAGTAAAAAATATTCAGTCTGCCAATTATCTTGATATTTACTGATATCAATATATAACATTTGCATTTGGAAGGTCTGAATTAAGAGCAAATCTTAGACGAGTGGTGAAACATCTCGAGTATCTTCAACCAGTCCAGTTGCTCTTGATTCTAAACGTCCATGGATTTTAGGAAATACTGCTGACAATTTAAGATTTAAGACACTGCAGCTGCAGTTCTGACAGTTTCAGACTCAGTCCACATTGCTGACACACTTTATGTCTGCAGAGAGGCTGCTGCAGAACCTAAGGCTACAACCACTGCCAGTAACATTTCAAGTGAGTTAAGAGTCCTGCCTGTATGAAGTGGTGCCAAGAGTTCATAAATATAAGCTGGAGATTTAATGTAAAGCTGATGAGTAATCAGCAAAACCTTGAATTTGATTTAAAGAAGAAGAAAGGGTTTTTGCCAGCCTGATAGATGTCCCACTTACTGTTGTTGTATTGTTGTTTACAGCTGTCTCACCAGCAAAACATCTAAAAATACTTAATGTTAAATCATTTCATTAGCATACTGGTGACAATGCATCTGCCCTTGTGTGTTAAAACGAAGCCTCTGTTTGTCCAAGGTTAGTCCCATTAACCTCTACACAAGAGGGCTGCAGCAATTAACACATGCACTTTCTAAAAAAACAAGTACAGGGGCGTTAAACCACTATAGCACGGCATCCGAGCCATCCCAAGGCTTCATGTCAGCTGCAGAGCGAGTGACCAGGAGGAGGTGAGAGTGCGGGTGGACAGGGGTGAGAGAAAGAGAGGGCGGTAGAGAGGTGAATAAAAACCAAAAAGAGAAAAGGGAGAAAGACTCAGAGAGACACACAGATATCACTTATAGGAAAGGACAACAGCTTTTATTGCATCATATACTTCATTGTCTTTAACCAATAAAAACAAGATGTAAGAGGTTGTTAATGTGTCTTGTAAGATTGTATGCCAACAACAACATAGCATAACACTGCTATATGAGTTTTGGTAAGGTAAAGGCGACTCAGAGCTGCAGCACATCCTTTTTAGTGAATTTGAGTTGTAACCATCAGATCAAAAGGTAGGTGGTGCAAAGATATCCCCTTTTCAGGCTACCTACCTCTAGACAAAGGTCTTTTGATCTTTTATACCTGGTGCACACTAGATTTTCATATCTTAACAGATTTTAAAAATGTTTGCTCCCGCAGACATAATGACAAAACGAACCAATTTTTTATATTTTAATTGGATGAACGCACACACACACCAGATGGTTCAGCGCAGACTCAGGACCGCACACTTGGACTCTCACAGAAACTCGCGGGATCAAATGTGACTTTAGACATCAACAAACATGGAGGCAGACTGTTAGCAGCTGGTTGTTGCACTTGTGTGTGCTGTGTGTTTTGCACGCACACACAAGTGCAACAACCAGCTGCTGATGAACTCGAGGCTGAGAAGAGGGAATCAGCAGGTTTAAACATTTTATAGTGGCGGCGCTTCACGATCAACTCGCTCTCACTAATGTCTGTAAACCGCTCACACAAATTCAGCCTAATTATCCTCTAGTGTGCGGCCAGCATTAACCTTAGATTGTTCATCTAAGTGTGTGAGATTATCTGATTATTGATTGTTGGTGACATAATTGTATAAAAATTCTTTTTATTTGTCTTTATTTGTAATGTTTTGTCTGAGGACATTAAACTAAGTAAAAGAGAAGTGGAAAGCGTGAGGGAAAGGGAGGGAAGAATAAGTGAGGAAGGCCACTCAGGCACAACGGATGAACACAGATAAAGAGATCAAGAGAAGAAGGAGAGAAAAGAGAGTTAAAGATTAAGAAATGCAGCGGGATTGGAGGGGAAGAGAAAGCCTGGCAGAGAGAGACGAACCTAAAAGAGAAAAGATAACAGATAGTTACAAAAAGAGTTTAAGAAATAGACAGACGAGACGAGGAAGGGCACACAGAAGAGCGAAACAGAGCTGGGACAGAGTTTCTCTGAGTCAAAGTCACAAGTCACTCCTGTCAGCTCTAATTGTGGCAACAAGGCACAGGGCCGTGAAACACATGTCCACTGTTGTGGAAAAAGCACAGGGAGGGGGGATATCATGAGGCCACAACCAGATGCTTTCTAAAAGGTATTTCTGTTTGAATTCATCTAGTTGAGGTGCGCACATTATTATTTACAGCACTAGCCTGCGGGGAAGTTGACAGGGGAGAGAGGCAAGCATGCACTCAATCACGTTCACACCTCAAGTCAGCTGATTCAACACTTAAGAGCAGGTACAGCATACAAGAGCTACATGGGTAATCTAGCGACACAGATTCTTTAAAGAATGACCCAAAGAAATATCACAGTTTCTCCAACACATGTGCTAGCGACCCTTCGACATCCCCACCTCCATCTGGCCAGAGCGGAAACAAAAATCTTAAAACACTTAACACTAATGGATAAAGATGGCTGCCGCGTCCTTACGGTTCAGTTTAACACGTTCTTTATTGTAGATTTGTAGAGTGGAGCTGGAGGCAAGAACAAATGATTGAGAAAAAGGAAATTCAAAGACCAGATGATTTCCAGCCTGGATCACGGAGGTACAACTTCACAGTAACACATTTCCAACGCATTCACAATAAGTCAATTCTTATCCTATTATTGGGGCGACCGTTAATCGGAAGGTCGGCGGTTCAATCCCCGGCTCCTCCAGGCTGCATGTCGAAGTGTCCTTGGGCAAGATACTGAACCCCAAATTGCCCCTGGTGGCTGTTCCACCAGTGTATGAATGTGTGTGACTGGTGAATGCAGATGTAGTGTAAAAGCGATTTGAGTGGTTGAAAAGACTAGAAAGGCGCCATACAAATACGGAGCATTTACATTTACATCCTAAAGCATTATGCTCGTGTGGTTCTAGACCTCTAAGTCACTGCCCACATCTCAGATTCGTTCAGAAATTCAAACAGGCTGGTGTTGTCCCTTACTGACAGCTGTTTCTTTCACTTGGAGAAACAATCAACCAATCAGAGTGGGATTAAGCATGGGAATAAAATATTCCTAAATGTATGGCTTACCTGGAGGTGACAGGCTTAATTAGCGTTGTGTGATCTCGTTTGGCGAGGGCTTGAAGGTAACAGACCTTCTTTAATAGGAAGTCCCGCACTCTAGCTTCAAGTCGACTGACATATATATTTAATACATGTGTAAGAACTGGTCCGAGCAAGCAATGCCACAGTCGGCGGCACGGATTCGCTAATGACTGTTCAGATCAAAACAAAACAAAATGAATCCCATCTCAACAAGTAGTCGGCTAACATGCACAGAATGAATGACGCTGCTAATAGACTGAATTTTTATTTATGCGTGTAGGGACTGTGGCCACCTCTCTGTGTGACCTTTCCTGTCATACTGAAGTCCAATCCCTGTCAGCGTGACAGATTTAAGCATTGTGGACAACCACGCGCCTACTGTGCTGTAGATGAATGTATGAAGGGACAAGGCAAAGGATCATTATATAGAGGAGTGACATACTTATCATTATTCAACTCATCTTATGTAATACAAGAATAAACAGTAAGACCCAGGGACTAATCTGTCCTCTTACAGTACTTCATGCCACCATCAGGAGACCTAACCCTAACCCAGTTCTTCTGCATTGTATTACACTGTATGTATGTTGTTTTATTGCATGCAGACGATTTCATTTTAAATCTGGTCATTTCTCAATAGTAATTGTGTTGTATACCATATAATATTACGGTTTATTTGATTGGGAACTGATCTGACGTACTGGGACAAACCCTCTGACAGCCACAGTTTATACAGTAGTTGTAAACAAACTTGTTACATCTGCAGATGCAGGTTTGACAACTTTCTCTCCTGATGCTTCCTGCTCATTGTCAATGTCGTGACTCTCTCTGCAACAACAATGCTCTCATTAACTATCTCTGAATGATTTCCAGCAGGTCTTTGTACTCTTTGTGTAACCCTGGAGAATAAACCAATAGACTCGGTGTTGCTGAATTGCCAAAAATAGCATTTACTGACACACCCTGGAAGATAGGATAATAGCAAAAGGGAGAGGCAATCTCTGTTTTCATCTGACTGAAAACAACACACATGTCAATTTGGGACAAATATCCAGCAGGCAGACATTTATAACTTGCGTGATCTGTGGACATTTTCAAGAAGTAACTTCACACTATACTGGGATCTTTAGCTCAACAAACATTTATCTTTGACAGAAACATAGCAACAAAGAAGCACATAAGTTTGAGAGTAACACTTTGTGCCATTTCTCATCCTAATCCCTTTGGCCAGTGATGCAATGAAAATCAAAACAATGTGAAAAGGTCACTGCCGCTCCTTTTTTACTTCGAGTCAGTTGCACAAAGTCGGGCGTTAGTCACAGTTCCTATCCAGCTTTTCTTGAATGATGAAGTTTTGCGCCTTCTGGACCACAGCCTGCTTAGGGTTGGGTATCAAGAACTGGTTCCATGTTGGCGAAGAACCATGGATTTTATAAGACACATGTTTTTCAATTCTGCTCATTGGTTCCTAACTTTCTGCATATTATAGCTTTTGAACTGCTGTGAACATTTTACAGTCCATAAAAGTGTCTCTTATCTGCCAGGACCTGCTACGCCAACCAAACGCAGTACGTCAACAAAGCGTGAAGAAGAGAGTCCCTCTGTTTCCAGTCCCGGACCACGGCGGGCCGCAGCAAACGCTCCAAAGTTTGGCTTAGCTTCACAAAAAAAAAAAAAAAAAGAGTACGCCACAGCAAAATGCAACAGCTGCAGTAAGGAGGTTTGGTGCGAGGGAGGAAGCAGCTCCGACATGACGAAGCGTTTACTTCACAACACGGCGTGAATCTGAAGGAACGCACCGTGTTCAGTGTGTCGCGCTCTCCCAGATCCAGCTAACGCTAACAGAAGCAACGCCTCAGGTACAAAACACAGGTGAGCTGACGTTCACCTTTTATACTGAAGGGAAATCAATGACGTCTACAGATGATTCAATATATATTTTTCTTAGAGACGAGTCCCCAGAGAGGCCCCTCTAGTACAGAGACTCCTTTCAATTTAGCCATGAAGGGGAAGATGAGCGAGGAGGAAGAGGAGGAAGGTCACCGAGCAGTGAAAGGATCTGTGGTGAAGGAATCAGAACCAATTTGATTTGATAAAACCGAAATGATACCCAAACCTAAGCCTGCTGCTCTGATGTTTGGGCTGTCACCATCCACCACATCCCCAGTATGCCGCCAATCAAACCAGGTCATACTACCCTCTATGAAACTACCATATGCGTCTCTAATCTAAGGTGCTTAGCAGAATGATTCTCAGTTCAAGTGAATTAATCAATGTTGTTCATCTGCTTCAGGAGCTCAGAAATGTTTTACTGGGCTCTCAGGCCAAAGCACAATCTCTGGATTCTTCTGTTTCATCATAGAGCTGTAGACACAACAAGAGAGTGCCCACTCACAACATAATACTTGGCATAAACAGAAAGCAATGGCTACACAAACGCTGTCACCCTTAAACATCTGAAAAAAATAATAAATATGGAGGTGAAGAGTGAAGATTATGGTGCATATAATGCTCCAACAAGAAAGTGTATCCATTAAAATATTCTCCTAGTTGCTCTCTATTTTACATTGTGACAACACTTAGTAACTAGTAAACAATAAAGAACAACAGTACTGTCAGCAGTTTTGTAGTTTAAAATCACTTGAGAGCCATGATGTCTCTGAACAAACTAATGTGACTTGAAGCCAAACTGAAACAAAAACTCAGATCCACAAAGAAACTCACAGGGGGGCGCAGACTGTCAGTGGGTCTGGATCAACATCACAGCTACAGAAATTCTCTAATGAAATGCAGATTAATAACCATGCACGACCATTGTTGCAGTGGTCATTAAACTGGTGCGTAGGTGAAACCATCTGCCACTTTATACAAATGTCATCATATAATACATTCTCAAAACCAAGCGCAGTCTTTAATGCACTAAACTTTAATCTAAGAGTAAGTGTTGAAATTGTACAAAGAGTCGGCCTTATTCAAGATCAGTCAATATTAAAACGCTTTTGTAATTCAAATAGATAAATTGTCCATTTTTGTCTGAACATTATAAAGTCAGATATTCCCTGGGCACTATGGGGAAATAATACACCTTATTAGGGAAAATAATCTATTATTACATCTGTTAGAATTTGTTTTTTGTATTATATCTGACCAGTTTCTACATGGCAGTTCACATACATATATTAAAGGGCTACAAAGCATTTGACTGCAGAAGGAATGTGAGATAGTGTCGCTGTTATGAAGCTGTCAGGGCCCAGAAATAGCAGCAGGAAACACGTGTGTACGGCTGCTTTCAGACCAGTTCAGCCGAGCCGTGTCCTGAGTCCTTGAGGAAGCCCGAAGGACTTTTTAATAAAGCGGTTGCCTTGCAAGACTTTAATGAGAAATCATTGAAACCCTGCACACGTTGCAGAAGAAACACAAGGGATGACAGCAACAGAATTACTGATGATACCTGGGATCAATTACAGCTGGATTGTGTAAAACCCACCACCAAATAACGCAGTCAAGAGCTTTGCAACTGCACATACGATTCGTTATTCTTAAGTTTCTAGTAAATAAAAGCGTTGCTTGTACTTACATGAAGCAAATTAGTGATGAAGATTCAGGTACAGCAGATACTGATCTCCGATGTGGAAGAACAGATCTTGCTCTGGAGTACTCTGTTGGAGGATCTGACAGATCTGCAGTCCTTAGAGCTCCAGGACGGACCGGGGCTGTCACCAGAGAAGCCAGAGCCATACCGGGGGCCGAGCAAAAACCTCAGTGGGAGACTAAATATAGAAACAAGTCAGGGGTTAACTAACACACACACACACACACACACACACACCCTCTGCAAGAGTTTGGCAGTGCTGGCTGTCACCTGGGTTAAAGGTCCAGCAGCAACAAGCAGCTCTAGGTTGAAACGGAGGGAGGGATTTAAGTTAAAAGTTGCACAGTTGATGTTAAATGATTGTTTTTTGAACTGCACTCAAACAATAAAGTGCCTCCTGTGCCAGATCAGCAGCTAGCTTAACTTAATCAAACTTTCCACACTAATGACAAAATGGTGACAGGTCCTTAAGTTAAATGACATAAAATAAGCCATGTTGTCTTAATAGAGGGTGTGGATTGTGGACACTTAAGGCAATCTATTGCAGCAAAGAGCATCCACATAATTTGCAGCAGTTATTATAAACTGCAGAAGATGTTAAAGTTAAAAGAAGCTGACGGAAAGTCACTAAGCTAACGTTAGCTAACACAGGTCGGCTAACTCATCCCTCCTTACGTTCTTCCTTGAGTTGCCAAGACACAACAGACCACAAAGACAAAAGCAATGTCAATATTAAATACGGACAACTTTACATTAAATTTCGAAACGCTCAATCTGGCGTTAGCTTTTGGCAGGAAACGTTTGTGTCAAAAAGTTAGCTATTTAGCGACCGTGTGAAGGATGCGCATGCGCATTAGCTGCCCTGTGAGTACGACCTCTGCCAGGAAGAGTTGATTTAATGTTCAACAACTATTACTATGAAAACGTTCATATCTTCGCTGTGTGGCGTTGTTTGATGCATTAAAATGAGCTCTTCCCAAATATGAAAAGGCCACAAAACAAGTTAAAACATTATGCAAAGCTTGAAGCGACTTCTTCTATGATCCCTATGTTCCCCTAGATTGGACACAGAGGTCAAAGTTCACACAGGCTGGCTCAGCAGTTCAGAAAAGCCCCTGAACTGAATGTGCGTGTGGAGCTCCAGTGTCCTGCCCAGACTGTCTACAGTCATGACAGGTTGTATGTGTAAAATATTAAACGAGATGCTTTTAAAAACCTATGCAAGATCTGTTAATAAATCCAGTAGCATAAGTAAATAGTGACAGATAAGAGTACCAAGTTTCTAAACGAAAAAAGGAATAGGCCTATTAAAAGTTGTGTGAAACAAATTAATTGAAGTAATCACTAACAGCTAAAAAATATGTGTGATTTGGTCTTGTTTGTGTAGCAGGTACCTTTAATTTCAGGTAGTATTGTGTGCATAAAATATTTCTATGCTGTTTATTAAGCGACAAATTATTGCTTTTCACATTAGGTGTTTCCTGACTTCCACACGGTATAAAACCCAAAACAAATTTACATTTATCATCATTTATCATTTGCTTTTATCCAAAGCGACTTACAATTGTTATACATGTCAGAGGTTGCACGCCTCTGGAGCAACTAGGGGTTAACTAACTTGGATAAGGTGATATTTCTCACAGGCTGTGCTAACAGGTGTTTGATGAGTATCAATACTACCAGTGAGCACCAGAGGTCAGCACAACATCATGTTACTGCAGGCTGCTGATGTCTGCAGGCAAAACCAACAGTTCTGGTAATTTAAAGGCAGAAAGCTGATAAGACATTCAGGACACTCTGTTTCATTATGAGCTGTTTAATATAACCAGAAACAACCAAAACCAAAAAACTAACCACTGTATATTAATTTCTCAAGACTAAAACATTATTTTAATGACTTTCAAAGCATTACTCATTGAATTGTTTATTTGAACGCTTACTTCTATACAAACCTGAATTAGTATTTGGCTTCATTCAATGCAAATGATTTCAGTACGTGTGTCTTTACCATCCAATCCAACAGGGAACATCTTGTTTTCTTCTGCAGCAGTACAATTTTTATTTCTCTGTCACTTTATAATTGATAAATAGTGGATCTGAACTGTGCATTCAGTTACACTAACTTTACTCTAAATATAAAGGCATCCCTTGCCTTCACTATAATTTTCCTGGATCTTTACATGTTCTCACTGTGTATTACTTAGTCACATGTTCTGGGGCTTTAGATCGTATCACACGGTCGTCGTCGTCGTCATCATCATCTTCATATTCATGCTTGTCATTATCATTGTATGGGGCAGCTGTGGTTCAGGAGGTAGAGCGTGGGTTGGCTCCTGTCCACATGTCACGGAGACCTTGGGCAAGACACTGAACCCCTAAATGCTCCTGATGCGCTGGCCAGCACCCTGCGTGGTAGCTCGCTCGTTGTAGCCATCGGTGTGTGACCTTGTAAAGTGCTTTGGATAAAAGACGCAAATATAAATGTAGCCATTGACCATCATCATTATCTGTCAAGCTCACATTTTAAGTAAACGTGGATGAGTCTTAAGCCCTAAAAGTAAAAACACTTACAAGCTACATCTAGCACTTACAAGCTATCTGCCAATGAGGATAGTGTTGAACTGTCAAAAGCTCCAGAACAAGTGATTAAGTGGACCATGAGAGGAGTTTGTTTGTCAACTGCTGTTTTGATTGTCAAGAATGAATTGTCAAGCTCAGCGTTGAAGCTGTTGTGCTCCTGGTGTTCCAACACTGACTGAGACACTTGATGTTGGTTTGTTCTTTGTCACCCATCTGTGGATTGTTCAAGATTAGTATTTGCTTTGTCGACATCGTCTCCTACAAGGGATCCACTCACGCTAAAACTCATGCATGGATGGCTGTACTGTTGGGAACCCTGCCATTTCCCTTGTGCAAGGCATTGGCTTCAGAACTGGATCTGAAACTGGTTCTTTTAAAACAGCCAGAACGGGTTAAATTAAGCAGATTAATTTCCCCATAAAGAAAAGAAGTATGACAAAGAAAGAAGCTAAAACTAAAAAATAATCTTTCATTTGCAATCCGCGAATAATTGCACAAAAGCCGGATTGTGGAAATCCAGGCTTACTCCCTTTGTACTGACTTACAATTAACCTCATTGTAATCACCACTGTTATCCAATTACATGCATTCTGTTATTCCCCACCCTGCACTTTGTTCAATAATAACCTCGAGATGGGTAATTCTAGTGAGGAGGACAGGGTGTCTGAAAGGAGTGTGAACCTGTCCCTGACTCATCCTTTTCAATATTTTCTCTAATCTAACTTTAATTGCTTGGCCTCAACTTTCAACTTTATTTTTAAAGATTCATTTTCTGAACTGCTTGAGAGCAGTTCTGCTCCGCTGGCTCCACACTCTGCCTGCAGGGCCTCTGATGATGGTATTTTGTTGATGAGGCACTTCACTCACCCAAATCAATTCTTCTGCACATCTCCACTGTCTCCTCCCCCTGTCATTGTTTCCTGCGAGGGCTAATGCACCCGACACGCATCCTTTCAGTCTTAAGTGAAGCCAGCTTTCTCTGTGTGTGAGGACATGTCACTGGCAACAAAAAAGCAAAGCAAAAAAAGACATGAGACAAAGAATAAGGCAAACAGCAGTGTTGGAGCTCGGGGGGGGGGAAGTCATTACAGTCGGCATGTGAGAACAGGAGCAGGGTCGGTCTCTGGAGCCAGCTAATTGAGCTCGGATGAGTGAGAGTAGACACAGGTAGGCACTATGTTTGACTGTTGTTCCCCCGCTTCCGTGTGGATGACTTTGAACAAAAGGGCAGACTCTTTCCCTAATCAAGCTAATGGAGTGGGAACATGCTGGTGGCTGAACTAGATGGGCAGCGACAGGTAGAAGGGCCTCCGAGGGATTTTAGGGAGTCTAAGGTAAGGACTTCAGTCTCTGATTGGCAGAACACAGGATAATAAAAAGCCCCTGCTTGTTCTGTCAGATCCATTAGCAGGTGGTTCAGGTCGGAGGAGCATACAGTGACAAGTACTGTGGTTCGTGTTAGCTGTCCACACTGCCAAAGAATAACTTCAGAGCTGATACTACAGGCCTTCATGCTACGCCTGTGAGAGTAGATGCTAAATTAACCTGCTAAAACTTAACAGTGTCTTTGTACTTTAGTGTTTACCTGTACTCAAACACATTTGATTCCAGGACGGCAACGGAGTCACAGCTGAGATGACCCTGCAATGGAAGAAGTCACAATGGTGAGTGAATTCAGACAATACTAAGACCTATTCAGTATAAATACAGCTTTTATTGGAGTCCTGGGTACATACATTAAAACAAACTATAAAACAGCTCAGGTTTGAAGTTCTTTCTTGACCTGGGGAACAGGTGTAGAGAAGACAGTCTTACTATAAGGTAAAATTAGTAGTAGCCATATTGATCTTTTGAGCATATCACCTGATCTTCATTAGCAAATAACCCAGTAGTGATAGAAATCCCACTTTTTCTTAGAAATATATGATAAAAAGCTCCATAACAGCTGCTAAATGTACCTTGAGATTGTTTCCACAACTGCTGTTTCCAAGGTCAAGTCCTTAACATCATCAGAAACATATGGAAATTTGCTCATTTACAATTCAGTGACAACTGGGCAAACGCCATCTTTTGATGAAGATGTTGACATGAACAAAAGCTCCAGAACAGAAGTACACTCGACAGTCTGCCAGTCGAGTGTACTGCAGTTTACATTTGGAAAGCTGTACAGTAGTTTGTTCCCTAGCAGACCCGTCTAACAGACAGACAGCGCTATGCGTTGGCAGAGTCATTTAAAATTTTCCTGCTGCTCTGAGGAAATTGTCCTTACATGCTCCTGAGCTTTTATGGGTCGTTCTGACTGCGATCAGATGGAAATTAGAATCACATAAAGTCAGATGTCTTCTTATTAAACAGCATCAGGTGCAGGGTGGCTTTAGAGAAGCGAGTCAAGCCAGGAACAAATTTTCCTGGAGTTTGTCTGAAACCAGGTGAGGGTTAAACATAATCTAATTAAGAATGTACAATATTAAATTCTCCCCCTCAGGAGGCCTGGACTGGTGCTGTGCTGGTTTCTGCTCCAGATCTCTGTGCAACCTGACTACCATGTGTCAGCCGTCAACCTGCGGCACTTCATTGGCTGTGCAGTCCGGGAGTTCACCTTCCTGGCCAAGAAGCCCGGCTGCGGGGGGCTGCACATCACCACCGACGCCTGCTGGGGGCGCTGTGAGACCTGGGAGGTGAGCGGCTGGGAGGCAGTTCCTGTACAGTGCACGCAGGAGAGGAATGTAAATGTGATTGTACCAAGAGGTGACGTAAACAAACCTGACAACTTTACACAAAAGAAATGAGGCTGCTGTTTGCATCAGCTTACATTTGAAGAAAGCGAGAAGAAGAAAAGGAAGAAGGATTAGATGCAGATTCAGCCACTCAGACATGCAGACAAATACTGTACACTCAGAGACGGAGAGATTGGTTATCCCCATGTAGAATATAGGTTTTCACTTTCCACAGGGAGGTCAGTGCAAGGTCGGCTGCGAGTGCAGGCAGGGACTCAGCTGCTAGACAGACACAGTAGATATATGAACAAAAATGTAAACAGATAGAGAGCTAGGTATGTATGTCAGATGACCAAGAAAAATATATTCTGTGTTTATAGTAACCTTCTAAGTTTGTGGCTGTCTGGAGTGTAAATCTGGCATGAGAATGGGGAGGACGGGAGGCTTTTGGTGCAGTGTGCACTGAAATTGAGTTAACGTACTGCAAGAATGTAAAGCAGCGTGGAATGCAGAGATTGAAGTGACAGCAGCAGTTGCCTTAACCATGCCTCAAGTGCATAAGAGACACAGTTGGATTTCATAAGTCACCGGATACGTATTACAAAAAATGCTGTGAAATCTCAAGTTTCATCTGGTACATTGTATTCAGTGACAAGAGGCATTAGGGAGCTCATGAGTCTCTGCTTTATTATTGCAGTGTAGCTGGTGTGTGTACAGGAGCCCTGAGCTTTGTTTTGTGATACTCTCTGGATCCCCTCAGGGAGGAGACTCATCTTTTTGTCTGCTCTACCCCACAGGGAGGTCAGAACGCAGTGGAGGGAGTCGATGTCTTGCTTTAGGGACAGTCTGTAGGACACACAGTTAGGGGGTCAGGGGTCACAGGACAGTCTCTTATTACAACTACCCAGCGGTAGGATTTACAATTTCCCCTTCTGTGCATTCAGCTGAAGTTATAAAACAGAAATGTTTAATTACTGCAACAGCAGAATCAAATTAAATTGCCAGAATGACAACACTACAAACATTTAATAAAGGCTTTGCGGATGTGTCACAAATCTCTCTTCAAACACAGCTTGATAGCAAAACGGAGGTTCACAAGCAAATTAGTTATGCAAAAATAATTACCAACTGAATAAAATCATTTGTTAAACATGAAAAGTCTAATAAGGTGGATTTGTTTCCACATCAGGTTACTGTGATGAGGGAAACGTTCTGGTCTACAGGCTGCTTTGTCGCTCGAATACATTATTAATTATTAATAACCATTAAAGGTACCTTGTGAAGTTTTTCACCACAAGTGGTGCAGGAGAGCAATGTCTACTATCCTCAGTGTATGTACGTGCCGTGAGGATGGAGGTGATTTGAAACAGAGGGCGGTAATGAATATCGACAGTTAGTTGGTGATGGTAATGAACTTTAAAAGCCAATAAAAAACGAAGAAGACTGTAAGATGGTTTTAAAAACAAGTAAATGTAGTTAAACCTGTAAATGTCCCATTTTAAATCTTCACCACAAATTGATGGATATTCATGCAATATAAAACAAAACAAAAAAGATCCAGTTAATCAAAAAAATAAACTACACCACCTGAAAGTCCTCTGCAGAGAAGACTGAAATCATCAGAGGCAAACTCCAAAGTAAACATAGGCTAATCAAATCTTTTCATATCAATCACCTTTGTTAAATGAGAAAATAATGTTTAAGGAGAAAAGTTATTAAGATCATTTCCTGTCCATTTGTATTTCTAGAAGCCGGTCCTGGACCCTCCCTTCATTGAGTCCTTCCAGCGGGTTTGTACCTACAACGAGACCCGTCTGGACTCTGTGAAACTCCCCAACTGCCAGGCAAACGTCGACCCAACGTACACCTACCCCGTGGCTCTGAGATGTGACTGTGGTGTCTGTCTGACCAGCACCACTGAATGTATAACATCTGTGTAACACAAATCTGAACAGGCAGGGAGTGGGGTAGAAATTCAGATCCAAAGATATATTTCATATGTTGTTGGTTGTTTGTGGACACAGTTATTCTTCCCTCTTTTGCCAAGTAGTTGCCTAAAACAAGACTTCAGTTATTTGGCACTGCTTGTTAGAGACACTTCATTCACTTAGATAATTGCTCCTGAAAATGTTTATGCAGAAAGATTCAGTTTTTCTGTAAATGTAATGGTAAATCCATTAACCATTATAAAAAAATGTTATGTTAGATTGCAATCCTGCTTTTAATGTAATCCAAAAGTACTTTTAGCAATTTTTTGTATATTAGAATTACTTAAGTAATTACTTGCCTGTTGTTTTTTTTTATCCCCAAAGTGCTCAGAAATGTAAGATATGTTATATAAATAAATTACATCTTACACAGATGGTCTGCTTTATTACCTTTTTGTACTGATTTTATTTCTATGTATCCTTTTAACCAACAATTCTTAATTAAAATAAGGAGAAGACAATCAATAAAAACATGAAATACAACATGTCACAGCACAAATCTCACTCACAAGCTCCACCTCATTTTTATTTGAATAGCACTTTGTTTTTTTATTTATTGAATTTTTAATTCATAATTTTATTGAATAATGGGGGGGGGGGGGGGGGGGGGGTTATACTGAAGGTGTATTTCTGAACACCTAGCTTTTTAATATGTATTGGTGTATATAGACAGAAGCAACTTGCCTTCCCTGCCTTTAACACGGATCTACAGGGAAGACAAAGGTCAGGCTTGGCTGCAGAACCTCATCGCTGGAGCTTGTAGGGATTCAGCTTCCTGCTAAAGGACACTTCTTTGGGGCAGATGTTCACGGTCAGAGAGGCTCAAACCTGGACCTTCCACTTACCCTTCTAAACTTTATATGGTATAATATAGAATCTAAAATTAATATTATTCTCCTCACCTGAGACAACATGTGTGTTCTCTAAAATGTAGAAATGTGTCACCTGCTTTTTTTAGCACTTAAAAAAAAGAACGTTCCCTATAAAGAAAGCAATTTGTGTACGAAGTGTTGCGATTGTTGCAATTGACATAATTGATTATTCATCTTTCAAAGACTAATCAGTCACTGATGTGTGCCTAATCACGTGACCACTCATTAGTGCTTAATTATTGACTGACCTGAGCTTTGAGGCCAAACTTTCTGCTGGTTAGTCATCAGTAGCGGGGCAGAAAAACAGAGTATGATTCCCAAGGAGAACAGGGTTTATGTAATCCCTGAGAGCCCGCATGTGACCGAGGAGCCGCAGGGCTGAGTTTGAGCCCCAGCGCTCAGAGGGGAGCACACAAACACTCCCTGTTCCTCTATCTGTCTCAGTTTGGCTTCGTTAACACTGCAAGTCTTTATACTTTAGCTCTGAACTGCTGCAAAAACCTGATGTTATTCAAGGATGGCTATTAATACGAATTCTATTATTAGGGCTCATTGCCTTCAGTATATACTTTTTGAAACAAAAAATAACTAATAACATCTGGGAATGCATCTGTTTATCTTAAGTGAAAATAAGTAATATTAAACTTTTTTTTAAGTATTTGTATTTTCTGAGCCGTCCTCATCACAAGAGGAGCTTTTTACACAACATAAAAAATCTGTTAAACCAGTCTGGGCCTTAATTTCTCTATTAAAATCTATTTAAAAAATGAAAACAATGAGCCGTATTTACTATGTAACAGACAGCGGATAGATAAATAGACATGACAGCATAATACAGGACATCGAATATGATTTTGTGCGTCAATCACAAAATAACAATGAGAGCATGACTGTGTCTGATCTGTGTCACATCGAGGGCAAAAGAATAAGGGCTGCAGTGTAAATGAAAACATGTGCATCCCCACTCTCTGTGGCTCATAAAAATACTCAAATACAGATGTTGGATATACTGCTCTCCGTAGAGGCGGCCAAAGCGAATCATCTGTTTTCATCTCGTTTGCAAAACCAGCAAGTAAAGATCTGATGATCCACCTGTTTGATAGTATGGGCTTTTTTTTTTTTACAACCCTCCCCATTCACCCAGGCTTGGGGACCAGCAATTCCAAAGGCACTGACTTGTGCATCTCCCAGTGGCTGGGAATCAACCTGGGGTTCAGTTTCTTGCCCATGCCAACATGACATGTGGGCAAGAGGTGGGTTTCAATGACCCACTCTACCACATGAGCCACAGCTGCCCCAAAGGGCGGGAAGAAATAGTTACCTGAAATGTTCAGTAGCATGAAACATTAATATTTAATTTGAAAACATCACTGCATTGATACATTTGATATAATATTCTCAGTCTTTTAGTAAGTTACGGTGCCGGATTTTCACTTGTTATCACAGGATCAAACCTATGAACTTAAAACAGCCATCAGGTCGCCTGACAGTGAGAATGGGACTAACACTGTATCAATGAGCACAAAGGCAATCATTATTATTGATTCTGCTCCATTTAGAAGAAAAATCAGCGCTTCGATAAATGTGGTTAGCTAATACCTGGAGTAAATCTGAATTAGCTGACTTTTCTGGCTGAGGTCAGGAAGTAAAACATACACCCTTTAGTGCACAGAACAGTCTCTTTCTTAAAAGTTATAAATTCATCAAAAGATATACAGGTGTCAAATTTGAATTTTTACTAAATTTTGTGTGTCAAATTCTTCATTTTCAGCTTCTGTTAAGTTGCAAAATCATAAACTTATGACATTACATTTAACATAAATTTAATAAATTTTGAGCATGTAGCTCGCAAAGAAAGTTTGAACCAGATCTTTAAGGCGGTTAATCGAAGATCAAGGAACCTGTCAAACAATTGGATTTTTGAATTTCAAAAGAACACAAAATAATGACTCATAGTGGAGGCATTAACCCTTATAGAAGCAAAACATGCACAAGTACGATAATATCATTTGATCAACTTTGATTTATCCGTATTGCATGTGAATATAGTTTAAAATGTACAAAATGAAAACATTTTTTGGCCAGTAGCAGAACTTTCACTCGCTAGTTTGTGTCCTCAAGAATCAAACAAAATAAAACAGGTTATCTTGTTAGATTCTCTTCCACAATGTGCAGCTGACAAAATGACAGCAGTCATTATATAATGCAAAGGAACTTCTTTGCAGCCATCCACTCTGCAGAGTTTTGAACAGAAAATTACAGTACCATAAAAGAGGGAAATGCGTGAGCAAACCGAAGTCTGTGTGAGTCCTGAAGAGGCTTTTAAGAGAAAATGCAGAGGTTAAAAGGAGAAACAGAGGAGAGGTTAGCTGTCTGGACCGTTGGCTCTCCTGAGACCTCCGTTATCTTCAACAACCCTGACAGGAGAGTCGCCCTAACAACCCCCGCTGTCCTAATCATTCCTGACATTACCACTTCCTCCTTCGACTGTAGGGAGCGGCGTGCAGGGGGTGTGGGGTGGGGCTGCAACAGCTCTTGGCAGGGGGAATTTAACACAGCAGAGAGGAAGGAGGAGGAAACCATCAATGGATGATCCTAACGTGAGGTAAGACCTCCTCTGGGAGCTCAGGAGGAGATACAAGGACTCATATCAGAGACCTTTTATTCTCGGTGAAATGAGGGATGATTCACAGGTCAAAGATGGTTGCTTCAACACTCAGCCAACAAATTACTGCTCAGTAAAACTACATTTTATGCAATGGTCTTTGGTACAAGACATAGAATTTGATGTGAATCCTTTTGCCCATGAAGTTCGTTGTCATTGCTTTCTCTATAGTAAAACAGTGGCTCACGGCCGTAATTCTGTCGCAGATCGTGTGTAGAGAGTTCCCCAACTTGACACACAAACTTAACTAACAATTGATAATTTCTCTTCTAGGCTGAATTTTCTAAATGCATAACTGATCTTTGGGCCACAAGCAAACTATCCATCAAACAGACAGACAGGGAGTAAAAGTATAAGATACTGGATTTTTGAGGCAGATACTGACATTTGGGAGTTAAAAATAGCTAATGTCAGTCGATTCAGCAGCCTGGCGGATTTATCGGTGTATTTCTGATATAAACATCTTGTTTCTGTTGTGGTTGATGGTCATGAAATGTGTCAGGTGGCGCAACACCTGAAATTTTAACTGACATTAAAATTGATGTGTCAACCTGACAGTTACACTGAAATAACTCACTGAAACAGGGTTAGTTTCTTACTTTCTCTCAGTAGTAAAGGGTTAAACACTTCCACCGCTTCTGAAACGGCAGGTACCAACTGGGCTAATGAATTATACAGTCGCTCCTGCAGGGGTGTGCTGATGGCGAGGAGGATCTGTGAGGACCACAAAGCTGAGAGAACTGCAGAGCAGCTCTATTGGGTGAGATTTCTCCAGGGATATACCCTGCCTGAGATTGTTATCGCCTACCATCGACATGTAATATGACGGAGGTGGCGTGGGCGGAGGCTGATTGATGAACTCGCTTTTGTTTGCAGAAAATTCTGCACACAGCATTTTTTCAGCTGTGGAATCATCATGGTTAGCAATAATTCACCAGTTTCCTTGTTGGTTCTAAAGACTCACAGATACTGAAACTTTTAATCTGCTACATTTCAATGGGAAATATTGGACTTTTTACTCCACTTCTACAAGTTTTCACATTTCAATTCTTTTTACATTCAAAACATGAGCTATTAATCTTTCTTTACAAGAAATATATATTTTTTTTAATGCCTAAAATGACCTATCTTTACATTTATGTGACAAGGACCTCTAGTAGTCTGTGTATTATGACCGTAGCTGTCAGGAATAAAAGGTGGAAGTAGTGTGACAGTGTTAAGATGCTTAAAATGAACTAGCTTCATCTCATTCAACCACGTCTGAAGGCAGAAGTGTTTATAGCTGCCACAAATGGCCACATTTGAAGGCTAAGTGTGAAACTGGCCGTCATAAAGAGGGGTGAGATGTGATAATTGTTCACATGGGGATGACTGCAGACCCAATTAGACACGCTCTTCTTAAAGGCAAAACACTGAACCTGAAAGCAGAACTAATGGTAGTCTATTGACAAGGCACATTAATATGTTTATCACCTTTAAAACACAAACGTGATTCAAAGTGCTTCACATTAGGCACATAAACATGACAATAAAATCAGTGTAAGGGGGATAAAATATAACACGTTTCTGTGCAGTTAGAGTTGGTGTAATGACTAGCCTCTAGTTCAAAAAAGGAAATAAAAGTGCAGTAGAGAAATTGAATCATTCAGAGGAACAAACTACAGTTTTCCTAACGATCCCCCTCGCTGCAGTAGAACAGACCGCCCTCTGGATACTTTAAATACTACTGACAGATACTATAACCATGAGGGGGGGCGGTGGGGTCACAAATAAAACAATAATGCCATTACAACACTGGGAGGCAAACCTGCATTGTTTACATCCATGTTATCTTCTTTCCCCTGCCTGT